CCTCCTAAAGTACTGGGATTACAGGCATGAGCCACCACATCCAGCCTAAAAAACAATTTTAAAATACATACGCTCTATCGAGTACAAAAATAATATTTCCAAATCTAGAAGGAAAATAACTACTTTAATTTTTGACAGAGGGTCTCACTCTGTTGCCCAGGCTGTAGTGCAGTGGCACAAACATGGCTCACTGCAGCCTTGACTTCCTGGGCTCAAGTGATCCTCCTGCCTCAGCCTCCTGTGTAGCTGGTACCACAGGTGCATGCCATCACACCAGGCTAACTTTTAAAAATTTTCTGTAGAAACAGGATCTCACTTTGTTTTGTTGCTCATGTTGGTCTTGAATTCCTGGGCTCAAGCAATCCTCCTGCCTTGGCCTCCCAAAGTGTTGAGATTACAGGTATGAACTACCGTTCCCAGCCAGTAACTACAATAAAAAATTTTTTTTCTGTCGGGCATGGTGGCTGATGCCTGTAATCCCAGCACTTTGGGAGGCCGAAGCGGAAGGATCACGAGCTCAAGAATTTGAGATCAGCCTGGGCAACATAGTGAGATCTCATCTCTACAAATTAAAAAAAAAAAAAATTAGCCAGGTATGGTGGCATGCATGTGTGGTCCCAGCTACTCAGGAGTCTGAGGTGGGAGGATCACTTGAGCCCTGGCGGTTGAGGCTACAGTTAGCCGTAATTGAGCTACTGCACTCCAGCCTGGGTGATAGGGTGAGACCCTGTCTCAAAAACAAAAACACACACACAAAAAACTTTTCTAAGAAAAAAGTTTGTTTCTGAACAATGTTCTCATTAGGAACATCACACACACACACACACACACACGCACACAACTCCACAAGATTTCAAAACTGTGTTTTAATTTTACCCTCAGTCTTGAAAACCCAGGGATTTGGAGGGCATCTGTCCCAAACCCCCAAAACCCTTCACTTCATTTCACATCTATCAAGTGAACATTGTCTTGTCTCATTTGATTGGGTAAAACCATCCCTTTCTGCTGGGATTTTGTGACATTACCATTTCCAGTGTTTACTGTATTTTGAGTCTAAGATGTATATTTTGGGATATTTCAACAGCTCTGAAATCAGAATGCATCTTAGATTTGATGGTGTTTTACAATAGCTGGCTGGAGACCCAAGTGTGAACACATCATAGCTACCCATGCTATTATTACCTCCATTGAGTCATGTGCCCTGTTGATACGACACACACAGATGTATTGCCTCTTAAAATAGCTTTTAAAGAAAGATAAGTAAGCAAATGTGGTAAAGTGAGATGGTATGCAGGAATTCTTTGTACTACTTTTGACCTTCTGTAAGTCTAAAATGACCTCAAAATAAAAAGAAAACAATTAAAATATCTTTTAAAAGATGATACTATGTTTTGGCTTTAAAGCAGAAATTTATAGTACATGCAGAAATTTATAGTACATGCAGAAAGGCACAGAAACAGAGTGCTGGGAAGCAAATTGATACTAGTGAAGCAAATTTTCATTACTGCAACAAGGCACTTTCATATTTTTCTTGCTGCGCATTTTCCAGGACCAAATAGATGAAGTTGTGTGACATTTTGTAACTGAGACACATGCAAACAGATGCCTGTCACAGGCCAAGCCAGGCAACTGAAGGCAGGAGAAATTGCCCGTCCTTCAGAATAAATGAAGCCATTTCAAAGCCTAGGGAGATATGCAAGATTGTCATTCAAAAAACATGTCAGAGTTCACTTTGCAGCATGTTTTTCTTAGATTAAAATTTTTAAACCACCACCACCAAATACACTGAAAATTGGTACCAGTTGTGAATTAAAATACGAAAAATGCAGTGCATGGTAGGGTGTTTTATTCTTGCAATTATCACCATGAATTTATTTTAGTGTCTTTTGTTCTAGACCCTAGACCCAAAACTGTAGTGTTCTCAGTTCAGTAAAAAGCAGAGGAGCTGAAAAATTAAACCTACACTGTAGGCTGTATGTGAGGTCGAGACTGAACCTGACTTACTCACCACTATATCCCCAATCCTTCTCACCTGCCTGACATATATATTTGTTAGATTAACAAATAAGTGAATGGATAGAATGGAATTGACCCAGGGAAAATGGATTTGCTCAGCAGAGCACTCAGAAGTCAGGGAGTTGGTTCAGATGCTCTTTTGAACTTCATTCCCTCTTCTTCTCTGAATTTACATGCCACCTTTAACACAGATTTTTTTAAAAGACATCTCATCATTCTTTTCAGACTATTCTTTTCTGAACGTACAGCCACCAAGGTGGCTTGAATATTCTTTGCCAATGACTAGTTACTGGAAAAGTGGTAGAACTAGTTTCTCTCAAACAACACCCCAATTCACTCCCAGGGGAGTTCTGGCTGTCTAGAGAAGAGCAGGTGCAGAAAATCTTGATGCTGTGCCCAAGGGCAGGCAAAGAACCATTGTCTGACCTCACGTGACCTCCGGCGATCTCAACCTGGCCACTGCTCCAGGAAGAATCAGAGCCTCTCTAAACCATAGATGAAAGTCAGCTTTGATTCAGAAGAATGGGCTATTGATAATTCTTCATTCCAGGAGTTGGGAATAAGGACCATACATATGTATATATGTGAAAGCAATTATTTCAGAATATCAAGCTCTTTAAAGCAGAAAAAGAGCAAGCATGCATAAAAATTCAACATGTCTTTAAAAAACACAAATCTGTGTAATAAAATAATATACTGACTATTCTGTCAACATAATCTCATGGCTATATTACACAAGATTTTAAAATAATATAGTTAATTATCAATCTCCTGTGGCCACCGAACACATCTTTCAACCTCAATAAATGCCATCATCATAATGACCAAAACATTTTTATTTCTGCAACTTAAGTTGCAAGGAAAATAACCTTTCCACTCAGCAGTAATTGTGAATCATGGTAAATATTAAACTGAAACAGTGATTTTAAAACTCCATGAATTCACGGTGATACCAACCTGAAGTTCATCATTTATCTGCCTAAAAAGCGAGCACTACAAATGTAATTTCAGACAGTCTCTCTTCATTTACTAAAAAGAACTGTTTCTACGCATTTTAGAAGCATTCAATTATCTACTATTGGCCCAATTTGGCCTTTTTTTTTTTTTCTTTTTTGAGACAGAGTCTTGCTCTGTCACCAGGCTGGAGTGCAGTGGCACAATTTCGGCTCACTGC